TCAGAGGGGAAGGCCCCCCCACCCCCCCGACGGTGCCGGGGTTGGTGTCAGTCGGGAGAGTGAGTCTGGGAGAGATCATCGGAACTGTCCATCGCTAAATAGCCAGCCAGGGGAGGCGGCCGCTGTGGCCAGTGGCTACTGATTGGTGGACTTACTCTCTTACATAACTCCACTAGTCACCACAAGGAAGTTGAACATAGATACCAAACTATTTGACCTACCCTTCATATTCAGTTCGCGTCAACTGGCCCATTTAGAACTACCCATCCTGTACCTTGCCACCTTTTAGTTTTTCATCTGCACTCATGCACGCACGCGCGCGCGTGCACACGCACACACACACACACACACACACACACACACACACACACACACACAGTCTTGCTTTGTCCTCTCTTTCCCACCCCACCCCCTTTTTTTTCCTGGGCTTGACCTCAGGGCCTGAGCACTATCCCTGAACTTCTTTTGCTCAAGGCTAGCTAGCACTCCTCCATTTGAGCCACAGCGCCACCTCTGACTTGTTCTGTTTATGTGGTACGGAGGAATCGAACCCAGGGCTTCATGCATGCATGCTAGGCAAGCACTCTACCACTAAGCCACATTCCCAGCGACATTTTTTTATTTTTAAAATAGGCCAATCCTTTTATTGCATATTGTTGAGTTTGACTCTGGGTTAGTTTAATTTGTTCATGATTGGGTTCAGGTGATACTTCCTTGGCTGCAATGTCTGTGAATTTCTGTGGAGAAACAAGATATCAATTCGTTCTATTATGGGACAAAGTTAAATGTTTAACTTTTCCTTTTTAGCAGTACTGGGGTTTGAACTCAAAGGCTGGCTCTAGGCAAACACTGTGGCACTTGAGACATACCCCCAGTCATTTTGCTTTTAGGTTTTTGTTTTCAGATGAGATCTTGTATTCTTATCCTGATTGGCCAGTCTACAATATCCTGGTCCTCCTACCTCCACAAATACTGTTAAGTATTTGGGATTACAGATGTGAGCCACCACCTCGCTTTGATCAGTTAGTGGAGATGGTATGCCTTCCAGATTCTCCAATATTAACAGTCTCTGTTTCACTCTTTTTAATTTGCGGAGAGAGGCTACCAGGCCCAAGCAACTCTCTTGGTTCTCATTAGACTCCCAAGCACACATTGTTCTCACTTGGATCAATTATTACTGTGATGGGTAATGAATTTTTTCTTATAATTCTATTCCTTCTATATTTATCAACTGGCATTCTACAATAAGGAAGCACTTTCCCCTTTTCTCTAATAAATAATTTATATCAGTAAACACTTGTGAATTCTAACATTATTCAATGTAAGTTATATCACCATCAGTAACTTGCTACAACTGCTCTAGCAAATTCCAATCAACAGCTACTGGCCACAGACTGAGTGTTTTAAACAACAGAAACTTATTTCCCTACAGTTCTAGAAGTTAGAAGTCCAAAATCAAAGTGTCGGCATATTAGTTCCTTCTGAGGCCTCTCTCGTTGGCTGGTAGATGGCTATCCTTTGTGTGTCTCACTTGGTCTTTTCTCTGTGTCTATCTGTATCCTAATAAACACCTTTTTATTTTTTTAAACACCTTTTTATAAGGCCAGAGATCTATTAGTTTAGGGACTTTTCTGACCTCGTTTAACCTTACTTACCATGTCTCCAGATACAGCCACACTAGGAGTTAGTGAGTTCAACATGAGTTTGGAAGTAGGGAAATAATTCAGCATACAACAGACTTCTCCTACTTAGCATGTATTTTTTAAAATTAAAGTTGCATTTACTCTAGTGAAAATTTTATAAAGTTTCTTTCTACAACAGTGTGCTAATTCACCTGTTAGTAAATAGGTAACTTGAAATTCCCTTATTCCTAACGATCCCATGCTAACACAGGGTCCCCTCTTCTTTGGTCATTTTTTTAGGAGTTGTCTACTGTATCTCACTTATCAAGGATAATTTGTCAGCTAAGCCATAGTGACTACAGTATTATTCAGAGGAGGCATTTATGATCAGGTGAACAATAATAATAGGACCTTAAGGGGATTAGTAAGTCCTTCTCCTGAACCCATGCTTGATAAATAGTTTCAGAAATAAAAGCTCCAGGAACAGGACCATGCATGCACTCAACATCACACTCCTTGCCCCGGCTTACCTGGCTGAGCACCCAATTTACCATCAAGAGCATGAATAATCAAATTAAGTATGTGAAATGGTAACATACTGTGAAATGCTAACATACTGGGATGCATGGGATCCAGAATCCATCTCGTGGAACACAGAATGGCCCTTCTGGGAGACAACAGATAATCTCTAATTAGTTTTTCCTACCATCACATCTCTGTTAGCATCATGTATCAGAGTGCTTACCATCAAGTCATTACACATCCTTAACCCAGTCTAGTGTGTACCTGTAGTCCCAACTACTTGGGAGGCTGAGGCAGGAGGAACACTTAAATATAGGAGTATGAGACCAGACTGGGATTCATAGCAGACCTACAGCAGAGAAGGAAGAAGCATCAAAATCTCCATCAGACATTGCATTGCATATTGTGTCATATCAAAGAACTTATTTTATTGTGAGATAAGGAATGTAATAGGTAAGTTTCTATATGATTTACTGGTCTTTCCCTTTACTTCATCTATCCAGATGCAGCCATGCTTCTACAAGGATGGCAGAACGATATATTTAACACTCAGATATGACACCAGATAAGATTGAGATGATTATGGTTTACAGTGTGCTCTCGTAATGAACTGGTGCAATTTCTCATGTAACCAGAATATGCAGATGAGTCTTCTACTCCTTGCTTCTTCTTTTGTTGAATTGAAAAATTAGTTGTCTTCTTGAGCTTGTTTCTGTTGCTTACAAGTATTTAGACTGATACACTATGCTTGCCCTACTCCTTCCTCACTGTTCTTTTCAACAATTGTGTCTTGTTCAGTCTTCTTAGATAATTAGCTTGATAATATCTGATGACTGATACTGTGGTTTAAAGGTCTACATCACCTTGATGTTTAATGTCTGAGACAAGTAGCTAATCTTTTCACCTCTGAGGGTTCATTTTTTCTTCTGCATACATGTTTTCATTTTATCAAGAAATTGCATACCTTATTTCTTCTTTGAGTAATCAGTGATATTTTATGAAGAGCATAACAGCCTCAACCTGGATATTAACAATAAGTAATGCATATGATCCTTTTTACTGCCTGACAATAAGGGCCAGTGCACTGAACCAATGACAATCAGAGAAACTTGTTATAACTGTATGTGCATCATCTAACAAGGAATGTGGCTTGTCACTTTTAATTCTCATAGCAAGTAAAAACCAGAAAGCATAATGGGTGCAGGTGCCTGCTGAGTTATCAGAAACTTGAAACATTGATTTTGGTGAAGGAAAGTCAACGGAAAGGCAAGATAATTATGTCCTATCATATTGGTCTGCTGTTATTCTTTCGAAATTACCTTGAAATACTAGACTAGCACTCTAAAGTATTAACATCTGGATGGTCTATACAATTCTGAATGTTTTAGTACAAAGATTTTCAAACATGCAAAAGTTGCATAGGACAATGAACACCTGTATATGTTCCACCTAAATTCAATAATTAACACTTTGCTCCATTAGCTCTACTGACCTATCCATATGACCACATATTTTTGTTTGAACCCATTTGAAGATAAAAAATCTTATACTTTACCATTAAATACTTCAGCATACATCTCTTTAGAATAAGGGTATTCTGTGTGACTTGCAGTAACTTTATTTTTGGTGCTGGTCAGTGGCTTGAACTCAGGGCCTAGGCATTGTCCCTGAGCTTCTTTTGCGCAAGACTAGTGCTCTATCACTTGAGTCACAGCACTACTTCTGGCTGTTTATGTGGTACTGAGGAATCGAACCCAGTGTCCCTGAGTTTTGTTTTCCACAAAGCTAGTCTTCTACGGCTTGAACCACAGCTGCACTTCCAGCTTTTTTTTTTGGTGCTTAATTGGATTTCTTGCCCAGGCTGGCTTTGAACTGTGACCCTCATATCTCAGCCTCCTGAGCAGCTAGGACTACAAAAATTAGCCATCGATGCCTGGCTTATTAATAGGAGGAATCTTTTAACGCAAAGCTAAGCTAGCCCTGGCTGATAACCCAACCTAACCAGCTGATTTTGGAAATATCATTTTGTTGGAGCACAGCCATACCGAGTTAAATATCTGGGAGTAAGTTATCTTTTCTTTAAAGTATTGAAGACAGGAAACGTGGAATCATGAAACAAAACACTCAGAAAAGTTATTTGAAGAGCTTTAATCATTCTCTAAATTGGAAGTAATAACTACTCACATTGTTCTGAAGGAAACTGAATATTAAACACCTAACAATCCTAGGCCCTGAGTTCAAGGTGTCATCAGACTTCCTTGGATTTAAATGGGAGCTCTGCCACGCCCTCGCTGTGCGCCCCTCCAGTGGCCCTGTGGCTCAGACGGTAGAGCACTAGCCTTGAGCAAAAGGGCTCAGGGACAGCTCCCTAGCCCTGAATTCAAGGCCCAGGACCGGCGCGCGCGCACGCGCGTACACACACACACACACACACACACACACACACACACACTCGAGTCTGTGCACCAGCAACTGGGCGCTCGCAGGACAACAGCCCCAAAAGGGGCCGGGAAGCCGCCAGGAACGCGGCCGAGGCCTCCCGGCGCTCCGGAAGACCAAGGCTCGGACGCCGCCGGCCTGTCACCGGCCTCCCGGCGCACCGCCCACACCACCCCCTCAGGCGGCTGTTCTGGCCCTCACGCTCCGGTCCTTCCCGGCCCGCGGAGGGCGGTGGACAGAGAAACTCAACCCGGAGAACACCAAGGCCGCAGCGGGTGCGATAGCACCGCCCGAGCGCCACGTAAAGCCACCCGCACCCACCACGACCGCCGGCCGCTCAGAGCCCCCGACCGCCTCTTCCGCTTCCGGATACTTCCGCTTCCGGCGTCCCGCTTCTGCCGTAAAGACCTTTGCATTGTGGGAAATCCTTCCTTTCTCTCCACCCGGCCATCTTGTCTGCTGCTTTCGGTGAGCGGGCTCCGGCGGGCGGAGGTGTAGGTCTTGCGGGACGCCTTGCCGGTTGCATCTCCAGATCCTAAAGACCTCTGTCCTGTTGTCTGTACGTTCTAGGTTGGGAGCCCTCCCGCACCTAAGGCAGGAAGATGGTGGCCGCCAAGAAGACGGTGAGTCGCGCGTGCCCGGGTCGGAAGCCGGTTCACGTGGAGGGCGCCCCGGCCGGGCCGGGCCGATCGCAGCACGGGGCACCCCGGGGCCGCAGGCGGGAGCGCCCTGCCCTCCGTGGCCGGGCCGGGCCGGGCCGATCGCAGCACGGGGCACCCCGGGGCCGCAGCTGGGGCGCCCTGCCCTCCGCGGCCGGGCCGGGCCGATCGCAGCGCGGGGCACCCCGGGGCCGCAGCCGGGGCGCCCTGCCCTCCGCGGCCGGGCCGGGCCGGGCCGGGCCGATCGCAGCACGGGGCACCCCGGGGCCGCAGGCGGGAGCGCGCGGGCGTCGGGACGGTCTCCCGGGGCCCCGAGGGGCCCTCGGTGATTCTCGTGGAGGTTTCGTCGGCTGGGGGGGGGGGGGGAGGGGGGGGGAGGGGTGGCTCCAGAAAGCGGAATCTGGTCCTCAGGTCTTCAAGTCTGTTAAATGTTTGTTGTAGAAAAAGTCCCTGGAGTCGATCAACTCCAGACTTCAACTTGTGATGAAGAGTGGAAAGTACGTGCTGGGGTACAAGCAGACGCTGAAGATGATCAGACAGGGCAAAGGGAAATTGGTCATCCTCGCCAACAACTGCCCAGCCTTGAGGTAATTTAGTGTGAAGGGACCCGAACATGTGTCTCCGACTGTACATCTGTTGTGAATGGATATCCCGGAGTGTAAATTTATATAATCTTGAGTAGCACGAACTCAATTTTCGGTAAAACGTATTTTCACGTGGACCCTTTGCAGAATATTTACCCCCCTTGGCCTTCTGGTCCTCGGCCCTCGAATCCCTCCCCTTTTCCACTGTGGTATAATATGAACTTACTTTGGGGGAGAAATGTGACAGCAGGGATAAACAGAACCTCTACGTTTGAGGGGAGCCCAGACATGTAATGTGTTTTATATTTACAGTGTGACCAAATTTTGCTCATCCCTTTAGTCTTTTGGGGGGTGGTCGTGGGGCTTGAACTCTGGGCTTGGATGCTGTCCCTGCCCTCTTCAGCTCAAGGCGAGCCCTCTACCACTTGAGCCACAGTGCCACTTCCGGTTTTCTAGTGGTTCATTGGAGATAAGAGTCTCGTGGACTTTCCTGCTCGGGCTGGCTTTGAACCGTGATCCTCAGATCTCAGCCTCCTGAGTAGCTAGGATTACAAGCGTGTGCCACCGGCTCCCAGCTCATTCTTTTAGTCTTAAAAGGCTTTGTATGTAATAAGTTGAGTGTAGCCTCTGGACGTCCAGGATGTCAGTGTCAATTTTTTGAGCCTGTTTAATCTTGATTTTTGCTAATTTTACATCGAACCTAATGAGTATTGTAAAAACTCAATTATAAACCTTCAAGAAACTTGAAGAACACAAGCCCCTTGATTTTTGTGTGTGTGTGTGTGTGTGTGTGTGTGTGTGTGTGTGCAAATGCATAACCTGCTCATAACATTTTATTTGGGGTACCTTTAGTGAGTGGGAGAATTCAGAATTTTTATATTATCTCAAACATTTTTTAAAGCCTGCTTGGGAATTGAAGGTGACTTAAGTAGTTAAGCATCACCTTTAAGCAAAAAGCTATGCAAGAGTGTGTGTGAGGCCCTGAGTTCAAGCCCCAGTATTTTTTCAGTTTATCTTTCATAATAGTGTTTTTCCAATGTTACTGTGCGAAAGGATTGCATGGGGTTTAGTGGCCCTGAGATTCATAACTGACAAGTCTCTTTGGGCACTATTGCTTGTCTGTAGAACCACATGTTAAATGCCAAGTTTCTGAAGAACTTACCGATTATTAAAACCATTATTAGCATCTACAATACTGGAGTGTTTTGATTTGTTGAGTAAATAATATCCTTCCTATTTAGGGTTCAAAACACCAGTGGGTGATAGAAAAACGTGCCTTTTAAAGATAAAATGGGGGGCTGGGAAGATGGTTCAGTGGTAGAGTGCTTGCCTTGCATGCTTGAGGCCCTGGGTTCAATTCCTCAGCACCACATAAGCAAAAAGAATAAAGCCGAAAGTGGTGCTGCGGCTCAAGTGGTAGAGCGCTAGCCTTGAGCTGAAGAGCTGAGGGACAGCGCCCAGGCCCAGAGTACAGGCCCCACGACCGGACCCAAAAAAAAAAAAAGATAAAATGGGTTTGGGTTCTAGGTTCACTTACTATTCTGTGTCTATGCCTTCATTAAATAAAAGTGGATAGTGAGTACATAATAACCTATTTTAGAGGTTGTCATAGGAGATAAAATGTGTGTTTAAAAAGTGTTAATACTGATTTGCTTTTTTTTTTGTCAGTCCTGGGGCTTGAACTCTGTCTGAGCAAAACGCAAAGACTAGCACTACCACTTTAGCCACAGTGCCGCTTTCAGTTTTCTGATGGTTAGTTGGAGATAAGATTTTCGTGCCTGGGCTGGTTTTGAACCTTGATCCTCAAAACTCAACCTGCTGAGTAGCTAGGATTACAAGTGTGAGCCACTAGTGCTCAGCCTGATTTGCTTTTATATAATTGTCATGCCTCTCCATGAACAATAAATACTATCTTAAAACATACAATAATAGTTTTCAAGAGTAGCAGGTGGTATAAATAGTGTGACAGTCACTTGGTATGGTACTTATTTGCCTTGTTTTTGGTTCCCTAAGGAAATCTGAAATAGAATACTATGCCATGTTGGCAAAAACTGGTGTCCATCACTACAGTGGCAATAATATTGAACTGGGTACAGCATGTGGAAAATACTACAGAGTATGCACACTGGCTATTATTGATCCAGGTATGTTTTTCATACTATAGAATCATTTTCTCTCAACACTATAGAAGTGTTCCTAGTATTACAAATGTCTTTCGTTCTTGGTTTAAGATCATGAGAGTTTGGATAGAGTAAGAGATGTTTGATGTCCTTTTATTTTGAATGAGTGTCAGTATGTTCTTGGCTTTATAATAACTGATTTTGAGATTATGATTTCATTTGAAGTATCTAGAATGTGAAATTATAAAGGAGTAATAATCAATGGAAGTAGAAAAAAATCTATGTGCTGCCTTAGAACAATAAAGTTAGGTAGAGGGACTATAAACCTATATAGTCTTACATTTCAACCTTTTAGTTAACCAACAAAATGTTGCGAATATTCTCGCTGTTCTGATTTTGTAATAATCAGGACAGGCTAAACATTCGCTACACTAAGACCATGCATGTGTCCCCAGATCTAGGTCTTTTCCCTAGGCCTGGTTTTATAAATGCTGGTGATAAACCTGATCTAATTTACCACAATAATTTTATGTGATCATCCAGTGGTTCAGATTCTAAGTTATATTTGACCTTAAGAAAAATGCTGGGTAGTTGGTGCTATTGTGGAGATTGGTTTAAAGAATGTAGCCAATGTAGGCAAATCTGATTAGCCAATAGCATTAGATAAATTGTAAAATTGCTGTTTTTATTTTTTAGGTGATTCTGATATCATTAGAAGCATGCCAGAACAAACTGGAGAAAAGTAAAGAGTGCACAATTTTTCTTTAATAAAACTTTCCAGAGCTGTTTCAAAAACATTGTATGTATTTTGGTTCTTTTCTTTATAACTTTTTGTTTCCTTAACACTTCTCCTGAAGGTGGGATTTGCTAGGAGAAGGCAATTGGATGTGGTAGCAAGGCTTCCATTTTCATGCTGTTTTTTATAGAGATTGCACTGAAAAGTTGTTAGCCAAAATCTGAGAGACCAGAATGTGTTTTAGACAGGGTATTTCCTGATTTGGGCGTCTTTACTTACACATAATGAGCAATCTCAGTGATGGGACCTAAGTCTAAACTTGAATGTACCATGAAGAATGTAACTTTTTTTTTAATAATATGTAACATTTTTTTAAGAATAAAAAATTTGCCAGACAGTGGTGGCTCACACCTGTAATTCTAGCTACTCAGGAAGCTGAGATCTAAGGATTGGGTTTTGAAGCCAGTCTTGGCTGGAAAGTTCATGAGACATATCCAATTAACAAGCAAAAAGCCACAAGTGGAGGTGTGGCTCAAGTGGTAGCCATCAATGAAACGAGTACAGTATTTGGACCAAAAAATTTAATCGTGTTTTTGTGTATAATAGTGCTATTTGTGGGGCTGTTGTACCAATTTGAGATAAGGTGACAGCATTGCTTTTGCGAAAATTAGGTAATATGAATAATATGTCTTATTTTGAATCAGCTATGATGGTCCTCTTCCTCCCTTTCTTTCCCTCCCATACACTGGAGATTTATGAAGGCTTTTGGTCTCCCTGAAAATGGGTTGAGGTATGGAGTGAACCAGGGCTTAACCTGTACTCTGACTTATGACTAGTTTAATAAAAGTGCAAACTGGGCTGGGAAGGTGGCTCAGTGGTAGAGTGCTTGCCTTGCACGCTTGAGGCCCTGGGTTCGATTCCTCAGCACCACATAAGCAAAAAGAAAAAAGCCGGAAGTGGCGCTGTAGCTCAAGTAGAGCGCTAGCCTTGAGCTGAAGAGCTGAGGGACAGCGCCCAGGCCCAGAGTTCAGGCCCCACGACTGGACCCGTCCCCCCCCCCCCAAAAAAAAGTGCAAACTAAGCGGGGTTTTTGTGTTTGTGGGGGGGGGGGGGTTGTTTTTTTTGTTGCCAGACCTGAGGTTTGAACTCAGGGCCTGGGTGCTGCTATGCCTGAGCTTTTTGCTCATAGCTCTCTCTACATGACCCATAGTTCCACTTTGGGTTTTTTTTTGTATTTTATTATAGATAAGAGTCTTAGGAAACCAGACACTGGTGGCTCATGCCTATAGTCCTACCCACTCAGGAGGTAAGATCAGAGAATCTGGGTTCAAAGCCAACTGGAGCAGGAAAGTTTGTGAGACTCCTTATCTTCAGTTAGTCACCAGAAAACTGGAAGTGGTGCTATATATAACTTAAAGTGGTAGAGCATTAGCCTTGAAAAAGAGTTCAGGGCCAGGCACCGGTGGCTCACGACTGTAATCCTAGCTATTCAGGAGGCTGAAATCAGGATCACAGTTCCAAGCCAGCTCAGGCAGAAAAGTCTGTGAGACTTATCTCCAATAAACCACTAGAAAACCAGAAGTGGTGCTGTGGCTCAAGTGGTAGAACACTGGCCTTGAGCTTGAAGAGTGCAAGAACAGTGCCCAAGCCCAACGAACCACAAAGAAGAGAAAAAGAGCTCAGGGATGGCTCCAGGCCTTGAGTTCAAGCACTACAACCGACAAAAAAGATAAGTCTTATGGACTTAGGTTGGCTCCAAACCTTGATCCTGAAATCTCAGCCTCCTGAGAAGTTAGGATTACAGAGGTGAGCTACTGGGGCCTGGCTTAAACAGTTTTTGTTTTTGCTTGGTCATGGGGCTTGAACTCGGCCTGAACGCCGTCCCTCAGCTCTTCAGCTCAAAGTTAGCACTCTACTACTTGAACCACTGGGCCACTTCTGGTTTTCTGAGTAGTTTATTGGAGATAAGAGTCTCACGGACTTTCCTGCCAGGGCTGGCTTTGAACAATGATCCTCAGATCTCAGCCTCCTGAGTAGCTAAGGATTACAGGCGTGAACCACCGGTGCTGGGCTGGACTAAACAGTTTTGAGATACAGAATTTACCATTTGAGGCATTGAATTCATGTTTAAAATTCTGGAGCATTTTCTGTTCAGGTTTTTTTAAACCAAGAATGCTCAACTTCTATTAGGTTTCTCTTTTTTCCTCCTCACTTCTAGCAGTTCTAGGGTTCAAACTCAGCTTCATACTTGGTAGGTACATAGGTGATTGATCACTTGAGCTACACTCCCAGCTTAGCTTTTGGTTCCTTGTTGATACTGGAGCTTGAACTAATATCCTGGGCTCCGTCATAGCTAGCTCTACACGTGAGTCACAGTTCCACTTCCAGCTCTTTGGTGATTAATTGGAGATAAGAGTCTCCAGACAGCTGAGCGTTGGTGGCTCTCGCCTGTAATCCTAATACTCAGGCTGGAATCTGGTTCAAAGCCAGCCCAATTAACTACCAGAAAATCAAAATGGTAGAGCACTAGCCTTGAGTGAAAAAGCTCAGGGACTACCCAGGCAGTGAGTTATGTCCCATGACCCGCAAGAAAAAAAAGTTACTTCCTGGGCCTAGCTTCAAACCATGATCTTCAGATGTAAGCCTCTTGAGTAGCTAGGATTACAAGTGTGAGCCAGGAGCATCCTATACTTTTTGCTGGTTATTTTGGAGAGAGTTGAGGACTTTTCTGCCTGGGCTGACCTCAGTTCCTTTGGATCCAAGCCTCCTGAGTAGTTAGGATTACAGGTATAAACTATTGGTGTGAGGTTGTATTCGATGTTTGGGTTCATCCTTTTTTTTTTTTTGGTCATGAAGCTTGAACTTGGCCTAGGCACTGTCCCTTGAGCTCTTCAGCTCAGGGACTTGAGCCACTATGCCACTTCTGGTTTTTGGTGGCTAGTTGGAGATAAGAGTCTTACACACTTTCCTGCCTGTGCTGGCTTTGAACCAAGATCCTAGATTTCAGCCTCCTGAGTAGCTAGGATTACAGGCATGAGCCACCAGCACCTGGCTTTTGAGTTAATAACTGTCTTGATGTTTACATTTAAGTGCTATCCTAAGCTGAGTGCAGGTAGCTGATGTCTGTAATCCTAGCTACTCAGGAGGCTGAGATCCAAGTATGGCAGTTCAAAGCCAGCCCTGGCAAGAATGTTCTTGAGACTCCAATGTGTCTCAAATAGTAGAGAGCCTACCTTGAGCAAAAAAGCTAAGGGACAGTGTTCAAGCCCCCAGTATGGGCACAAAACAAAAGATGCTATCACAAAAGAGAAGTTGAATAGAGCTTTGATAAGGATCTTTCCTGAGGTGGTACAGTGGTTGGATCACATATACTTGAATGACTTCAGAGAAAGCATACATCTTCAATAAGTATTGTTAGATTGCCCAAGTACATTTTATGCCATTCAGTCCTATGTTAGCTTGCTTAGTGTTGAGCTATTACATTTCCCTAAAATAGATCCTATGGGAATGCTTTCTCACATAGGTTAACATCTTTGCCTCCCGAGTAACTTGGATAAAAGGTGTGAGCCGTTTCACCCTACTTCAGAATTTTTTTAATCTTTTTTTTTTGGGGGGGGGGGTGGTCCGGTCGTGGGGCCTGAACTCTGGGCCTGGGCGCTGTCCCTCAGCTCTTCAGCTCAAGGCTAGCACTCTACCTCTTGAGCCACAGCGCCACTTCCGGCTTTTTTCTTTTTGCTTATGTGGTGCTGAGGAATCGAACCCAGGGCCTCAGGCATGCAAGGCAAGCGCTCTACCACTGAGCCACCTTCCCAGCCCTTAATCTTTATCTTGTTAATAGTTTTTTTTTTTTATAGCATCTTGTAAATTAATCAGGTAAAGAACAGAAGCCAGCTGAGTGCTGGTGGCTCACACCTCAGGAGGCTGAGGTCTAAGGATTGAAGTTCAAAGCCAGCCCAGGCAGGAAAGTGTGAAACCCTTATCTGATTAACAACCAGAAAGCCAGAAGTGGAGCTGAGTCTCAAAGTGTGCTAGCCTTGAGCAAAAGCTCAGACTGGGACAGTGCCCAGGCCAGGTCCCATGCTGGGGCGGGGCGGGGGGGTGGGGGGGGAATAGGACACAGAAAACAGCTCTTCAGCTCAAGGCTAGCGCTCTACCTCTTGAGCCACAGCGCCACTTCCGGCTTTTTTCTTTTTGCTTATGTGGTGCTGAGGAATTGAACCCAGGGCCTCATGCATGCAAGGCAAGCGCTCTACCACTGAGCCACCTTCCCAGCCCTGTAATAGCTAATGTTTAGCTATACCTCCAGCTTTATTTAGTCCTTTTGACAGCCAAAGAAGATAGTACCATTAGCCTTGTTTTACAGATGACATCAAGGTATAGGAAGATTATGATAAATGATAATTCAACACCTTTATACAGGTGGGGAAAAATGAAAAAATCAAATTTTAAATGAAACTTAGATATCTTAGGTTAATTTGTAAATGTTGATGGACTGGTTAGAGGCTTGTTTGCCGTGTGTCTTCCCAGCTCCCAACTGGTAGAAATGTGTTTATAGTAGTTTGAACAAGGCTGTGGAGGAGTGAGTCAAGCCACTAGAGGGAGCTTGAACACAACAGTGAAGTACCAGAAGCAAAGCCTGAACAGGTGATACCAAAATGCCTATCAACTTAAACAACTGTTTCTAATGAAAACCTCCCTTCAGGATCAACTTCATTACTCAGATATAAACTCAAGATTTAGGGTTTTTATTCAACAATGTTTATACCTGGGAAGATTCGTGACTTTTAGAGGAGGTTGAGATGTTTTCATTACCATTCTGCCCTTTGGAGGACATTCTAATGAGAACAGGTGTCCGGATTTTTAAAATTTTTTAAAATTGTTTTGGTAGTAGGGCTTGAACTCAGAGCCTGGGTACTGTCCCTGAGCTCTTTTGTTCAAGGTTAGCACTCTTAACCACTTTGAGCCATGGCTCCACTTGCGGTTTTCTTGTGGTATTTGGAGATAAGAGTCTCACAGAGTTTCCTGCCTGGGCTGGCTTTTAACTGTGATCCGAAGATCTTC